TTGTTTGTCCTCCTTTGTCGTCATGGATACCACTTCCCATCTGTCCTGCAATCACTTGTTTCATCTTCACTGCATCAAGGCCTGGCTCACAAAGGTAGAGAGATGTATTGATACACATAGTATATAGTCAAACATGGTTATCTTGAAACTCAGTGGAACAATAAACAAAAAAACAGGCCCCGGGATCATGAAGCGTCTTAAGCTTAAGTCAAAAAATGCCATAGATGCTGAATTTTTTTTAGAGGTCAAGCAGCCCAAAATGAAAATGCTTCCGATTTTTTATCATCAGTCTGCTGTTGTATGCAAATTATGAGTTTCTTTTAACAAGTTTTAAAGATTTTGTAGATAATTGAAATTTTGACTAAAGTCTAAGGCTGTTTCATGATCCCGGGGCCAGATGTTTTTAAAAGATTTTAGTTTAGATGTCAATGTTCAAATTCTTAAAGAATAGGACTGCATAAGACTACCAAATCATTTGACTTTGATCCATGATCCAAAATATTAGTGTTGTAACAATTTTAAAATGGATTCTGAAGTATATGTTATGTTGGCTTCTATGAATTGTCAGTAACCAATATCAATATTTTACAAGTCCGATTTGAATTTGATATGTGATTGCAACTGATTTAATTCAGTGACAAAAATGGTGTTTATATTTGGAACAAAACAAATTCAGTGACTAAAACATAAATTTTATCATTTCTATTGTAGTCTGCAACATGCCCCGTATGCCGTTATCATGTGGAGTCACCAACAGCTCCATAGAAACAGAGCATGCTCAGTCAACAGGAAGTAATGTCATAGAATCCTTACCTTATGTTTAGATGTCAGCAAAAAAAAAAAAGAAAAGAAAATGTGACACAACGAGGGACAGCATAATAATATTATTTTAATATTATTTATATATATATATACTCACCGTCAATGAAAACGCAACACTCTAATTTTAGGGTGAAAAGTATATACCGGTTAAAACTATGTACCAAAAAAATTAGGAAATCTTTTACTTTGCTAAATCAGTTATTTAACGGTTGAATGAATTTCTTTCCTCTACCGGAAGTTGCTTTTTAAGTTTTTAGCCATCTTAACAGAAATCAAATTTTTGCATTTATAAAAAAAATTTAAACAATATTTTGGGTTTTCAAGGTTTTGTAGCTGTTTATCATAAGTATTATACTAAAATCTCGGGAAAAAATCCTTCTTTCTTTACCGGATGTGATGCCTATATTTCCTCAAAATGACTGATTTTTATTGCTCATGCTGGAGATTTTCAAAATAAAGAAAAAAAGAGCTGCAGATGCAAATTTACAGTATTTAACGACTCATCTGGCTTATGTGTTTCAATGGCATAAATAACACTTTCTTGACCGGAAGTTCAAGAGCTACTACACTACGCCAAGTTAGAGAAAATTTGACCGCAGTATCTGAACAACACACAATCAAAAATGCCCAAGAATATTTATTTCGCTCAGATAAAGACATACTGATAAACCTAATGCATGGTAGAAATCGGACTGCGTATGTTGTACATGGCGGACTAGCATGTTTTGATTAAATAGTCTGAAGGGGGTGTTTTATTTAAATGTTATCTGTTAAGAGGGCTTAAAAATCAACTTTCGGTAATAGATTGAAAACCATTCAACCATTAAATAGCTGATTTGGCAAAGTAAAAGATGTCATAACTTGTTTGGTACATAGTTATATCCCGTATATAATTATTCACCCTAAAATTAGAGTGTTGCATTTTCATTGACGATGAGTATATATATACAGCAAAGTACAATGTATGTTTCGTTATGTTCAACACTTTCTTTTAAATTATAAATTAATTTATTAAGGCTAATCATGACATACATATATAACTGTTTTTGCAGTATCCATACATAGAATTCTAAAGCTTATTTATATGACTCCTATCATATTTGCATTTTGTTTATTTTATTTATGTAAATGGCAAGTCTTGAAAGTGTTTTGAATATAGGCTGCATGTATGTTCAGAGAGAAAAAAGATATTTGTCGAGATGTATGTTCAAAGAGAATGTTTTTTTGTTCAAGAATCTTGTTATCAAATTTTAACCCTTGATTTCTTTATATGTGTTACCATTATGTGTACATGTAACATTGAAACAGATTTGTAAATGGCTGGGATCAGATTGAGGTGCAATATTTATCCACAAAGTATCTAGCTTCATGTACATAATGCATGAACACACAACTGTGTAATGACTGAATTTGTTGAAGATTTTTTCTTTCATTTATTTATACATTGTCGAGACCATAAAACTATGGAGCATGCATGTACTTGCATCTTTCATTAGGTATTGTTAAGCTTAGCTGTATAAGTACATGTATGTGTTTAGAAACATCTTTATTCCTCAGAATGTGGGTTTTTATGCTCTGTACTGTAGTTTACACTCTAAAAGGTACATTTGAATCATATTTTACCATCTTTGATGCAATCATTCTTAAATTTATGGGTCTCTCCAACACAAGGATTTGTCAGGCTTTTGTAACAGTATGTGAAATGCCAATGGCAGTACTGTGATGTACAAAGATGTACATTTCTGATGAATTCCTACATTGCCATTGTAACAAAGTGCCAGGGCAGACATTTTTGCTTTGTTATTTTATAAGCATAATTTGTTATACATGTATCTCTTAAGTTTACAATGTATTTTAAAGTCTTGTGGAATAAAAAAAAACTTGCTTTGCTATAAGCATCAATTCATTTTAAGCATGCATGTTCACTATAAATGTGTTTTACTGTAACAGTGAATTTCATCTGTGAAAACTGAAAAGTCAATGAAATACAGTTAAACCTCATTATCATAAACTCTATGGGACCAAGAAAAAAAAGAAGATATCCCTTAATTTTCAAAATATTGAACCAGATGTTGAAATCCGTTTATTTAGGACTTACAATTCACTTTGTTATAGCCAAATCATTCGAGAGTTTAGAGTTTGAGATAGCAAAGATTAACTGTATAAGTAAATTATATTAAATTTAGCAGTCAGAGCACTAGGTCAATACAATCATAACTCTTTTTGCATAAATTATGATTTTCTTAAAAAATCTGTTGTTAGTATACTTGTGTTTCTATTTTTGTACATGTGATGTGCTGTACACTTTGACTTATCTGCTTCATGTACGAAAGGAAATCCTATTAAGTCTTAGTTTATTATATTTAAATTATTTAATACGCATCTAGGCTTGAGTTGATTTTTTCTGTTTGTTTGTTTGTTTTTTATTTTTAACAATTTTAATATTCTAAAAAAAAATACCCCCAGGTATGCTGGAACTATGTTTTACATGCTGATTAGCCAACACTCATGTTATATTTTAAATCTGCTAATTTATTGCAAGCAAAATAAAAATTGAAGCAAAATATGAAGAGATGTTTTTTCGTGTTGTTTATGTTTCAACCAGCTGTATATGCCTTCTGTGCCATTTCTTATCTAGCTGGAACAAGTTACAAGTAGCATGTGTAGATAACTCATATATCAACAAACTTATTTATCAGGAAGTCACTTGAATATATCAAATGTGCTTATAATTAACAAACATCCCTTATACATATCCAAGTAAGGAACATAAGAAATTAATATTGCCAATTATAACTTGCTATGGGGATTCATAATTAAAACATCTGAGATTTCCTTATAACGGAGTTTTGTGTAATAATTTTACATATAGAGGTTTTAATAATTCTAAATAAACTAAATTTATCATGCCATCTAATGATTTCACCAAATAGGAGAATGAGGTAGATTATTCCAAATTTTGTACATTTAAATTAATATAGTGGCATAGGTGATAGGCCAGTAGTAGAAAGGTTGCTGGATCAACTCCCAAAGTGGACAGTTCATTTAGTGTGTCGTGTCCTTAGACAAGAAACTACGTGTATATCTGTAATGTCTTGGTCCATCCAGCTTTAATGGGTACCAGCTCACACTGAAGGGGGGGGGGGGTTACCTGTGATGGACTAATACCTAATAGTCTAATACAATGAGACTAAGTCAATGACTTTCAAACATCTTCTCAACACCACATAAATCAGCAAGTACATGTATGAGCAGTGGCAGTGAAAAATCAAGTTTCAACCATGACTTGAACCCATCAGTTCATTGGAACTTGCAAGAGTTGTCTTTCTTCAACTGATAGGAATATTTTTTAGAATTAAACAATGATAATAAAAAGGGTTTTCAGACAATAGATATAAACACAGAATTCTATTTTTGTATTGATTCTTTATAATCATGAGATCTACATTAAAAATATAACATAGTGCAAACAAATACATGTGTCCTTTTATTTTCAAACATAACAATAAACAGGCATTTTGATATTAATACAGTGCAGACTCCATCCATGTACATATGGTACATGTATATCTATCTATATGTATCTCTAGAAAAAATTATCATTCTTCTTTTTAAAAGATGCATTTATTTCCAAACTTGTTTCTTCAAAATGTCAAAAAAATGCCAAGGAAAGGATTTTTTTTTAAATAGATTGTAAAACAACAAATCCCAAACACCTAAAAAAAAATGTTTTTTTTTTTTAGCTCACAATACCTTGATATTTATGTACAATGTTTTCATTTATTTCACAAAAGAAGATTGTTCAACAAGCAAGATACACATACTGTACCTGTATATACAAAATAGATTTCTTTATTTTCTTTAACTAGCTGTCTGCAGCATAATTTAAAACTCGGGAGGAACCTCCCTTTTATAATATTCAATCTAAGCTCTCATCCATTGGGCCATTTTTGTCATATTCAGATTAATCAAGCATTCATAAAGCATAATTCTGCAAATTGTATCATTGTGCTTTTTTCCTTCTTAAACTTGATAAATTCTAGTTGTTTTCAAGATTTAAAAAAATCTTTCTAAAATTTTTAAATCAGAATCAGTATGACCTATTCCTTGGCAACATATATAAAAAATAATTATGTTATGACTATAAAGGGAAACAACTCTCATCTTAAAAAAACCAAGACAAACCAAAAACAACAGAAATAAAACTTTTCACACAGTCATATTAATAATAAGCATTATCATACTAACATATCCACATGGTTCTGGTCATCATTAAACATGAAGCCCTCCCGCCGGGCCCGCTCTATCAGTTTTTTGGACTCCAGTATAAAAGTCGAGTACGTGATGTGTGGATATTGTGCAACCAGTTCTTCTACTGCGTCGGCCGTTACCGCATCACATCTGATCAAGCCGAGATACCGCAGGGACGAACATGTGGCGGACAGATTTCTAATGCCGTCATCCGTGACTTCCTGACACCAGCCTATGTCCAGGTTCTTCAGAGTTTTTGTGTACTTTCCAACTTCTCCTAGAACTACAAAAGAATACATATTCTTGTTATTAAGGAATCAGTGAATTCACAGAAGATATGTCTTGATTAATTTGTTTTAGAATTGGTGCTTTGAGTGTGAACAAATACTTTATTTAAAGAAAGTCTGCTCATATCAATATCTACAGAGTCATTGACAAGCTTTTGCTCTTTTTATTTATATGATATGAACCCGAACTGGATCTTGTATGACATTAAACAAAACAGCTTTAATTGATAGAACTTTGACCTTTAACCTACTTACATTGGTCAGTGATGTGACAAGATACACACTGCAGCAGATGAAGTTTACTACCATATTTGATGACCTTCAACAGACACTCGTCATTTATCTGAGGGTTCAAGGACACATTCATGGCCTCAAGGTCAGGACAATACTGGGTCAAGGATGCCACATCTGCTGGCAATATGCCAGGTAGACTAGACAGGTCAATGATTTTTAACTTCCTAAGCTGCATAAAATAACACATTGATAACTGATTCATGAGTCTATAATTTGGTATTTTAATAATGCAAAATCTATTATATTCATAATTATGTTCTTTATCTAAGAGGAAAAAATCAGCATAAATTCAAACAATTTATTCTTACATGATGCAGCTTTCCTCATCCCCCCCCCCCCTTCAAACCAAATATGGAGAATATAATGAGATAATGCATGTTTTATCCACTTCTCATTTTAAATTCTTGAGATTTCACCTAAGTAATCACCTGTTTGAGGGCTCTGACTCCTTTCTCACTGACTCCAGAAAACATGAGGGTCACTATCTCCAGGTTAGGGCACATCTCACAAAGTCTTACACAGGAAGAGTCTGTCACCTAAAAAACATACACGCAGTTCAACTTCAGTATCTTGTAACACCATTAAAATCAGATACCATTGATATGTAGAAGTAATTTTGAAGTCCCAACCAATTATTTTTTAAGTATCTAAATTTCACTTTTTTCTTGAACCCTTCAAGTACAAGGTAACAATTTTAAGGTTTAATTCTATATGTTACAGAGTAAAACCACTAAATCCTGACCTCTGGGGAACTAAGAAATGGGATTTTCAAATGTCTTTCACATAGCCAGATGGATGTTATTGTTGGATATACAAATAATCAACCATACAACATTAAAATAAAACACATTTCAAAAAATATAATAAAACACTCTTTGGTGCTGTGATCACTTAAGTTAAAATTTAAAATTTTGAACATATCAGATCATGTTCATATATCTTATCCACAATATAAATCTAATATATTTACATTCGCTGTGTTTTTCAACTAAGCCAACTGTGAAATAGATTTGAACACCATTTTCGTGTATACTCACGTGAAGAAATATACACGGAGAAACGTACGTTGACGTGACGTACGTTACAATGAGTCTGCAGCGACGTTAGTAAAAATACAACGATATAGGGGAGTGAGAAATTCAAATATTGAGTATATTTTAGTTGCTTCCAAACATGTAAAATGTAAATATAAGGAATGTTTACCTCAGACAGATAAGCCAGTATAACTTCTCTACAGCTATCACTCCCTTACCTCAGACAGATAGCCAGTATGACTTCTCTATAGCTATCACCCCCTTACCTCAGACAGATAGGCCAGTATGACTTCTCCATAGGATCACCCCCTTACCTCAGACAGATAGGCCAGTATAACTTCTCTATAGCTATCACTCCCTTACCTCAGACAGATAGGCCAGTATGACAATCTCTATAGCTATCACTCCCTTACCTCAGACAGATAGGCCAGTATGACTTCTCTATAGCTATCACTCCCTTACCTCAGACAGATAGGCCAGTATGACTTCTCTATAGGATCACCCCCTTACCTCAGACAGATAGGCCAGTATGACTTCTCTATAGCTATCACTCCCTTACCTCAGACAGATAGGCCAGTATGACTTCTCTATAGGATCACCCCCTTACCTCAGACAGATAAGGCCAGTATGACTTCTCTATAGCTATCACTCCCTTACCTCAGACAGATAGGCCAGTATGACTTCTCTATAGGATCACCCCCTTACCTCAGACAGATAGGCCAGTATGACTTCTCTATAGCTATCACTCCCTTACCTCAGACAGATAGGCCAGTATGACTTCTCTATAGGATCACCCCCTTACCTCAGACAGATAGGCCAGTATGACAATCTCTATAGCTATCACTCCCTTACATCAGACAGATAGGCCAGTATAACTTCTCTATAGCTATCACTCCCTTACCTCAGACAGATAAGCCAGTATGACTTCTCTATAGCTATCACCCCCTTACCTCAGACAGATAGGCCAGTATGACAATCTCTATAGCTATCACCCCCTTACCTCAGACAGATAGGCCAGTATGACTTCTCTATAGCTATCACTCCCTTACATCAGACAGATAAGCCAGTATGACTTCTCTATAGCTATCACTCCCTTACCTCAGACAGATAAGCCAGTATGACTTCTCTATAGCTATCACCCCCTTACCTCAGACAGATAGGCCAGTATGACAATCTCTATAGCTATCACCCCCTTACCTCAGACAGATAGGCCAGTATGACTTCTGTATAGCTATCACTCCCTTACCTCAGACAGATAGGCCAGTATAACTTCTCTATAGCTATCATCCCCTTACCTCAGACAGATAGCCAGTATAATATCACTCCCTTACCTCAGACAGATAGGCCAGTATAACTTCTCTATAGCTATCATCCCCTTACCTCAGACAGATAGCCAGTATGACTTCTCTATAGCTATCATCCCCTTACTTCAGACAGATAGGCCAGTATGACTTCTCTATAGCTATCACTCCCTTACCTCAGACAGATAGGCCAGTATAACTTCTCTATAGCTATCACTCCCTTACCTCAGACAGATAAGCCAGTATCACTTCTCTATAGCTATCACTCCCTTACCTCAGACAGATAAGCCAGTATCACTTCTCTATAGCTATCACTCCCTTACCTCAGACAGATAGGCCAGTATGACTTCTGTATAGCTATCACTCCCTTACCTCTATATAGCTATCACTCCCTTACCTCAGACAGATAAGCCAGTATCACTTCTCTATAGCTATCACTCCCTTACCTCAGACAGATAGGCCAGTATAACTTCTCTATAGCTATCACTCCCTTACCTCTATATAGCTATCACCCCCTTACCTCAGACAGATAGGCCAGTATGACCTCCCTCAGCTGAGGACAGTTCTCCGCTATAGCTATCACACCTTTGTCTGTCACATGGTAGGAACACCGACTCAGGTTTATCTTTTGTAGCTCCCTACACCCAACGGCCATCTACAGTAGTAAACAGAAATAACTTACAATTTCTAATATTAGTCACCACTAATTTAAATCTTTCAGCATTCTGTTTATTCGTGTGCTAATTAATGTTCAAATTCTGCACTATAAAAAAAGGCCTGTTCAATTGCAATATTGGAAGAAAAAAATTTTAATCCTTGTAGGTTTTTATAAATTTGATTAAAATCAGATCCTTTGATCTGCTCACGTAGACAGTGACAGATCTGTACATATTTGTACACTGTAGTGATCTCGCATGAGAGAATCAAATAATGATTTAATCAAATTAAGGTTTTTCTATAAAAATTATTAAAAATGTTGATTATTCTTTTCCCCATTTGGAACAATTGTGTTTAAAATTCAAGCCTTTGATGCAAAAATTTCTTTCAGATTTTTTTCATTTCATTTTCTTTCAGAGTAATCTTTTGACTTGATCTGTTTTACAGAGCAAACTTTTGACTTGAACTATTCTTTAAATTTATAAGCAGTAATTGTCCAGCTCAGTCCACAGGCCTTTGGATCGCTTTTAAAAAAAATTTTGTGTGTAAAAAAAAAATATTTTTTTTCAACACCTCAATTTTTTTTTCTAAGCGATCTAAAGGCCTGTGACTCAGTCAGTCAAAAGGTAGCTGAACTTATACAGTAAAACTTGTCTAATCCAGACATTGTGTATTCTGAAATCTTGCCTTACTAATATCATGAATACCATTGGCCTATATTCTATGTTAGGCAAATAGGCTGTATTATACACATCATTTTCTCTGGTAAAAAAAATTTGGTTGAATAAAGGGGCGTGGAGTTGATAATAAATCATACCTATTAATTTATTTATTTGCAAATGCTAAAAAGCATTCTTAGCAATTCAATTTTTAATACCTATCCAATTATGTTGACAATATTGCTTTTCATAATATCTTAAAGATAAAAATATTCCCTTTGCCATGTTAGCTGGAAATGTTTTAAGCCAATTGAAAGTTCAAGTGTTATTAATATTAAATCTGTATCAGAAAATTTCATCGAAAGTAACAGGAGTCCATAATAAGTACAGTCAGGAAACAAAATTGATTATCATGAATTATATTTGGTTAGTAGGAAATTAACATTTTGATCGAATTTTGATTATTCAGTAAGGAAGTTTCCATATTTTCTAAAGGATAAGTTTACGTCAGTTCTCAGTTTTGTTAAGTGGTCTTCACATCACAAAATAAACTGAAAATATTTCTATTACAATATTTTTTTCACTGATCAAATTAAAATAATTTATTGTAGATGCCTGAGTTTGTAAAAATACTCCCTTTGGACCCCCTACTCCAGTTTAATACCTATCAAGAGGAAGCTCCTTTTCTACTAACACTTTGCACACCAGGTTAAATCTGTGACTTCACACTAGCCTAAACATTACCAGAAAGAAATATACGCAACTGCTAATACTAAAGACTATATGTTAACTTTAAGTCTCTTTTTAATAATGCCAGTCAATTTCTATAAGGATCTAGTGGTGCCTGCATCAGACAAGTTGTACTGTAACTCCACTTACCCCACACAGCACAGTGTCTGTGATCTTGTAACATCTGTTTATCACTAGCATATTAAGAGATCATGAGCACCCCCCCCCCTCCTGGGGGGGGGGGGGGTCTGCAGAACTATAACTCTACTATATCTACTTACAGCACACAGTCCCGTGTCTGTGATCTTGTAACACCCGTCCATCACCAGCGCCCCTCCCCCTTCCCCCGGTCTGTAGCACTATAACTCTACTAAGTATACTTACAGCACAGAGCCCCGTGTCTGTGATCTTGTAACACCCGTCCATCACCAGCGTTCTGAGATGAGGACAGTGGCTTCCCACGGTCTGTAGAACTGTGTCCTTCAGTTTGTAACATCTGTGGAAGATATAGAGAGAGAAATCAATACAAAATAAGGAAAGTTCAATATATATTATCTAGTACCTACTAAAATTTCACACTCTGTTTTGTATACTTTTTGAACATGTTGAATAAAAAATTTCACACCATGTGTATTTGCTTTAAGTAGAAATTTTCTACGAAAGTGGAACATAAGATCCAAGTTAACCAATGGGAATACATGTATTATCCAATTTCCAAAATAGAACAAGGAGCAAAATAACAGCCCTAAAAGCATATACCCGGTACTTAAATTAAGTGTTCAGCAAACATGTATGAAATAAAATAAAATTTGATGGATTAATGTATATCCATTATACTGACCTTGACATGTAAAGTGACCTTAAATGACCGCACCACTTCAGAGCACGCTCCATGGCCTCAGAGGTCAAATTCTGAGTATCACTGATGTCAATGTGGGTCACTCTGTCACTTAACTGGGTCAAGGTCAACAACTGTTTATCAGTGACCTTGTGTTGATAGTGAAGGTCAACATGCCTCCAAAGGTCAGGGTCATACACCAGCTGATGCCAAAGTTTACAGACCAGGGACGCTCTGTGAAGCAGGTCACACATTCTTAAATGTTTCAATATATTCACGAGTATGGGTGGTGGGAGGTCATTAATATGATTGACAGCTGTCAAAGAAAAACACGCCCCCTCATCATGTTGATTTCCTACTGTGTTCCTGATTTTATCTGACTGGTTCTCTGAGCTAATGGATCCAGATTCGATTGTCTGATAATTTTCACTTTTCAAAATTTTCAATTCAATGTGAGGGGACCAAGTATTTCTTTCAATTTCAACTTTATCACAGTCTTTGATTTCTGAAACACTGAAAGAATTCCATGAGCCATGTCCTAAGTTTGGAGGATTTTCACCTAAACTTCTTTGTATTCTAAATTTAGTGACTCTTCGTGAGGTAATGATATCATTGACTGTAGATCTCTCATCATCAAGATTTTCTCCATTGCCAGATTTCTGAGATGGTTGCCAAACTGTCTCTCCACTTTCATCATCCACCACTCCACATTCTGGATCCACTCCTGCTCCCTCTGAATTGCTCTTCCTGTGTTGTGGTGAATATAGAACCTCAAACCCTGGGTTACAGATTGGCTGGGGACTGTTTTCATTACTGGGACTATCAGAACTTGACTTACTAAACGCACATGTACTTGAACACATACATGAATTCAGCAATGGGTCAGAGGTTGATTCAAGGTTAGAGTTCAATTTAAGGTCAGAGTTCACAGGGCTCACTGAGTCACTGGATTTCTCACAACTTTTAACATTTTCACAGTTACAACTATCACATTTGGAAACAAGCAGTTTTGAGCTACACTGTCCTGAATGCAGATTTGAGAATTCATTATTGTCATAAGATGTGCTGGCAATATTTTCAGTAGTGAGAGTTACTTTTGGGGAAGACTGTACCTGATTTGGATTTGAGTTATGAAAAGAATATAAACTATTTGGTACATGAAATTTCTGAGGCATAGTTTTTGGCACACACTGTTCAGGAGTTACATTTAATGCAGACTTATTTGACGAGGATGAACACATTTCACTTGTTGAACAAATATCCACATCTGAATGAGATAGGACTGAACTAGAATTTCCCTGAAATACATTATGAGATCTGGATGTAGAGTCCGGATAATCTGGATTACTTCCAGAATTTGTACATCCGTCCTTAGAACTTTCCACATCAGGATCTGTCCTCTTTCTTTTACATGGTCTATTCTCTTCTTCCATGATTATTTAGATTCTATGTCCCTCTTGAATAAAGGTAAAGGCACAATAGACAGGCATTGAAATTTTGACACCTGGTAAAAAAATTAATAACTTAAATATTTAATAAGTTACAGAAAAACCCATTATCATGATTAAAATTTATATTAAAGTAAGTGTTAATCTTAGCATTTGCAAAATAATTTCAGAGTCCATTTTAAAATATTTATTTCTCTAAGCTGTAGCTGAAGAAAAAATACATATTCTCCATATAAACATGATAAATGTTGAGCATTTTGCAGTGTCTCGGACCCATCCAAGTACTTGACAATGCATGCATCGCAGCATGTACTAAGCTGGACAGGGTACGACACTAACTTTTTTAGGCTTTGGTCCGGCCTGACTAGTGTTTCTTTACTTTTCCTAGTCCGCGGGAAATTTTATGAATCCGTCAATAATATAAATAAACTAGAGCAAAGCTAGTTGCAAAGCAACAAGTAGGTCTTCCGTCCTGTTTGACCGGAAGTAGCTTTCATTTTTAACAAAAAAGAGAAATAACGGCCCAAAATGGTTTGAATCCTCTAGAGCTATGTTAATTAATGCACAAATAAGCCATTTTTTGCTACTTTCGGTTTGACCGGAAGTGACGAGGACGGACGGAAAATCAATTTTTATGCTCCCAGAGACATATGTTACCCAAAAACTTGTCAAGAACGGCAAAAATACGCGATTTCCGACTACTTCCGGTAAATAAGTAGAATTAACATTGCAATGTACTTTTTATACTTTTTTGAAATAAACAAAACATTTACATCTATTCAAATGTTTTATACCAAGATTCGTTGAAAATCTCGCAATCAGGAATTCGAACTATGATTGTATAATATTCCCGATCGCATTCGTTTTTGTCTATACATAATTATATAATGCAAACATCCGACATCTTTCTTTATGTGTCATACTAAATCATGATCGCTAAAATGTTTAATTTCATATCATCGAGTCCTAAACTTAAGCTCCAGCCTCAGAATTACATAATTTCCCGCCAAGAAGCTAGAAAGCTAAAAATAAAAACAGCTAGGTTTTCCCAGTGAAAGTTGTTGAGAATTGAACATCGATAAATTCTTCTTTTTTTCCCCAGAAAAATTCATTAGTCCGTTCGGACTAATTAGCCACAAATTTTATTAGTCCGAGAGAAAATGTATTAGTCTTAGACTAACGGACTAACATTAATGTCGAACCCTGCTGGAGGTTACCAACTGCAACTTTAACAGTTGAACTCTTTATTTTTATCATATTGGTCATGGTCTTTCAAGTACTTGCTCATATGCAGGGGAAAATGACATTATTTTCAAAGTCTGCCAAAACAGCAAATCATTAAGAAAATTAAATGTGAGTGGAAAGGGGCAACACAGCAATGGAAAGATCATCTCCCTCTTTCTCTCTCTCTGAACATGCTGAACTCTCTCTGGATTATTTATTTTGTGTAATTTATTTTTAATTTGTTTCCTCAGGATAATGATGTGTGTGTTGCTGTGTGTGTTTCACTCAGATAAAAAAAATACTCTGTTCATTTAGATACAAACAATGACCGGATAAGCCTTATTCCGACATTCCAAAGTAGAACATGTATCAGATTTAAACATCTACACGCCTACAGGTGACACATAACCAGTTGCCGACATTTTGGACCTAAGAACCGAATAACAATACCGATAGTTTTAAAAAATGAATACTTACTGTGGAAAATATATTAAATACAATCTTTTTCTACACCTTCTATCGGGTTTCGCTGACATTTGTGGGAAATGTGAGTTCTACGTCACGAAGAACCCTTCGGGTTGCATCGGAATTTATCCACGATAATTCGATCCCGATTTGTTTTCTTTTTTTCAGGTTGTATAGCCTTGAAGTCTACGAACCATGCATTTAATCAAATATTTGTACAATGTTCTCAGATTAACATATATGAGTAACTGAATTTGCTTTTTTTTACCCTAGAGCATATACAGAATGTGCAAATATAACCAAAATAAAGATTTTAAAATAGATAAATGATTAAATGAAAATAAATTAATATAGAATTCAATTAAAGGGTGTTTTATTATTCCTGAGATTCGGAAACAAATATATAAACATGTACTCTGTTTTACATGTATCATTATAATGAAAACTTAAAGCCATTAATTATGGACATGATTATTCAAGAGCAAGAACAAGATGTGTTTGTGAAACACTATGTGCCCGGCGGCAACAAAGTTAAAAAAAACATATTTTTAGCTTATATGTCACATTCAAGGTCATAAGGTCATTGATCTTATTGTCATTTGAAAGAGCTTGATTAATGAAGTATGCAAAAACCAAATATGAATTTTCTATCTCTCATGGTTCAAAAGTTATGGTGAAGGTTAAAAAAAGCTATTTTTAGCATATAAGACACAGTCAAGGTCACAAGGTCACTGACCTTGGTGTCATGTGAAAGGGCTTTGTTAGTGGAGTATATATGCCAAACATGAAGTCTCTATCTTTCTTCTTTCAAAAGTTTTGGAGGTTAAAGTTTGCTGACAAAAAGCTATATTTAGCGTATAGGTCACAGTCAAGGTCACGAGGTCATTGACCATGGTGTCATTTAAAAGAATTTAATTAGTGATGTATGCATACCAAATATGAAGTCTCTATCTTATATGGTACAAAAGTTATGGCGAAGGTTAAATTTTGCAGAAAAAAACTATTTTTAGCATATCGGTCACAGTCATGGTCAGTAGGGCATTGGCCTTGGTGTCATTTGAAAGAGCTTAATTAGTGGAGTATGCATACCAAATATGAAGTCTCTTTCATTCATGGTTCAAAAGTTATGGCAAAGATTAAAGTTTGCAGACAAACAGACAGACAGGACAAAAACAATACACGCCTCGGATCTTTCGATCCCGGTGCATAAAAAGTGCAGATCGAAGTTAATCTGTAACAATGGATTATGGTATGAATGTTTTTTTTTTAATTATAATTTTTTTTTTTCATTCGCCGGGATCGATAGATCAGGGGCGTATATTGTTTTTGTTTCAATCTGATTCTCCCATGCAGAGTTGTCGTTCGTTCCTCTCGTGAATGTATGAGCCGATGGTAGAGAATGGTCCTGTCTGTCTGTCTGTCTGCAAACTTTAACCTTGGGCATCACTTTTGAACCATGAAAGATAGAGACTCCATATTTGAAAGAACTTTATTAGTGGAGTATTTATACCAAATATGAAGTTTCTATCTCTTACGGTTCAAAAGTTATGGCGAAGGTTAAAGTTGACAGTAGACAGACAGACAAACAGATAAACAGACAAACAGACAGGACAAAAACAATATACGCCCTGGATCTATTGATCTGGGCGCATAAAAAGTGCCATGCAAGCTTCTAAAAAGATGTTTATGAAACCAAAGTACAGGTCCAGGTCCAGGTTTGTTTTTCAAAAGTAGGTCAAACTCAAGGGTCTACTAGTATCGGTAGATAAAATGTCAAAAGTTGTTGGTTTCTAAAGAAAGGTCATGTCACAAGGATTACATATGTGAAGCATAGACGTTTGAACCGGGGGGCTTGAGGGGGGGGGGGGGGGGGGCGATTAGCCTTGGCAAAGGTAGCTACAGAACTGTAGCTCTCTGCTAGAGAAAATTCGGACAGATTGATAAAGCAGATAAAGCAATTTGAAAGCAGGGGGTGGTTTCTTCCACTTCGCCCCCCCCCTTCCCGCGCTTTCAATTTACTTCCGACGCCATTGTGAAGTATGAAAGCCCTAGCCCTAACCCTTCAAAAGTTATGACAAAGGTTAAAGTTTTTCAAAAGTAGGTCAAACTCCAAGGTCTAGGTCAAAAGGTCAAAGTTGTAGGTGTCCTATTTAAGGTCTTGTCACAAAAAAAAAAACATATTTGACGTATGAAAGTCCTAGTGTATACTGATCAAATGATATGGCTAAAGTATTATAGTTTGGAATTTTTGTGTAAAAAAGTGTCAAACTCAAAGGTCAAATTGGCGATACCCTAAGAAAGGTCTAGTCACAAGAAATACACTTGTGAAATATGAAAGTCATAGCTTTATTAAATCAAAAGTTATGGGCAAGGTTATACTGTCAGAAAAATCAGTCAGAGAATACATGTAAAAGATTATTGGCCTTGTCATGATTTGGATTTTGCTCGTTTAAAGAACTTATTATTTTTTAATTTTTATTATTTTTTCATGAGAAATATTTGAGAGTGTTACTTTTATTTGTTTGTTATTTTGTTCTTCGGGTTTCATGCATTTCGCCCGGTCCAGTAATTCAAATATATTACCGGTATATATAAGGCATTTTGTGCCTAAAAATATCATATCAAAAGAATTTGATTCATAGGCAATGAATTTTAAACAAATAGAAGGGGGTTGAGATCTTTCACCATGCCAAGAAAACCTTTGCATTCTCTCCATATAGCAAACTCAATAAAAGCCGAATTAACATTAATCTGTGATTCTTCCCCTGGGAGACGTGCGGAAGCAGTTAATGTCTGCAGTTTTGAGGGAGGGATCTTAAAATTTACTGGGTTAAAATTATAGGTAGAATATTAGTTATTTAGAAACCTTTGCCCCCCCCCCCCTCTTGTCTTTTTCGGGTGCGGGGGGGGGATGAAATTAATTATAATAAAGTAATTCTTCAATAAAATAAGCTGCCTTTCAATTTTTTTTACGTAATTCAATTTCAAAATATTTTTTCTCAGTACAAATAAATTGACATCGGGTAGTTGTGGAAGTACCGCGTCGAAATATAGATAAAAGAGTACCAAATTTCCGGAAGTTTACATCATTAAAGATGAAGACGAGTACTGAATGGGTAGACTTTACCCGATTGGCTATATAAACACTTTCATTTTAAAGTGAATATTTTCTTTTGATTGTTTTTTTCTTATTTTCTTCAGTCCGATATTTTTTTAAAAATAAATTTTGGTACCAGTGCCTCTGGCATTTGATGTATTTTGTAAATAAAGATATTTGACAGTGACTTTTTAGGGTATTTGTACTACTTCCTGGGGTACAAGTTTATTTTTTCTTTAACTAAGAAAGCTTAAAACCTAGGATCCACCCCCAGAAGTCTGCTGCCGTAAATTGTCTTGCTGGCGTTTTGGGAATATGGGTGATTTGCATCAATTACACATTTATTGACTCCATCGCTGTCGAAATCGGACGAGATTTCTTGGCATGGTAGTTTTTTTGCGGACCAACAGCTAGACAGACGGACGGACTGAAAGACATACAGACAAATTCGACAGAAACTATATTCCTCAGAATCTTTGATTACGGGGGCATAAATATTTATACCCATTGAAACGTCTTGTCGCAATGAATACACAGTTCATAAGACTGACAGACGGCCGGCCAGGGCAAACACTGTACATCTCCGACAGGGGCAAAAAATCGTAAAAAGTATTTTCCCCCTTTTGGATATCAAATACAAATGTAATTACAATTTTGTATTTATACTTCAGTAAATTAAGAAATACGCCTACATGGAATTTTCATAAGCCATTATACCACTGAATATTTATTTTGTGAATCAGTTAAAATATACTTTTCAAGGAAATGGGTTGGGGGGGGGTTAGGGTTGGAGGGGTAGGGTTGGGGAAGGGAGTTGGGGTTGGAGGTGTGTGTGTGAGGGTGAGGGTGAGAGGGAAATTCGTAAAGTAATATACTTTCCAGTGTGTCGGGGTGAGCATGGTGAGAGTGTTTAGCATCCTATATGCAGTATTTATATATATACTTATATTTATTTACTAATATATCCATCCCTTTCTTTCTTTTTTTTCCTTCTATTTATTTATTTATTCATTCATTCATTCATTCATTCATTCGTTTCATTCATTCATCTCAGAAATTTCGATCGGGTTAGATTTTCTGAGAGACACCTATTTAGATGTGTTCCGAAAAACTACACACAAATTGATGACATCACAGCACAAAATCGGGAAAGCGGAAGCTCCGATAGGATATGCAGTGGTTTTCCAACAGAAACCTGATTAATTCGGTGATATCTTAGATCATAATGTAAACACCAGGATTTAGGCAGCTAGAAAAACACCACGTGAGAACGTAAGTGTTAAGTCGGAGTCGTGCAGCCCCGAGTGTAAGGTTTCTTCAGGGATTATACACCTGCACCCGTGCACACACCCCGCTTCTGAATATTTAGGTTTAGTCAGAATTTGTGCAGTTGTAGCATCTTTTGCTCATAATTTATACTTATGGAATAATTTGTTCTTATGTCATAAGAAACTCAAAGTACATAAAGAGAGAGATTGTTCAATGCATATATATCACACCTTGTTATTACTATAAACAACTAAAAGCATGAAAGCCAAATGGAAAAAAATGCATGTTTTCTAGGTGGGGGTGACTCATATGCATTTGGTCAAACTGGACATTTTAGCAATGTCAAGGTAAAGTGATGCATTCATGTGTCATTAATCTTGTATGCATCTTGTCCTTATTAAATTAATTAAGAGTTCTAAAAAAAAAATTCTTTGACATTTTGTCACGATGATCATCATGATGCTGTTTAATGTGTACAAACACAATGATGCTGGTATATATTGGAAACTTGATTCTTTTCCTATGCTTTGAATGATATGAATACAAGTTTCATTAACATGATTAATGTACTAAGCAGTATTCTCCTTAAACTATAAATGACAATCATAATATATTATTAATTTTTTTTTTAAAACATTACTCTCCTAGTTTTAAAGGATGTGACCAATTGTGTTGCCAGCTTATATTTGTTTGATATATGAAAAGTCTCACATCATGCTCATTGGGCCCAACCCATATATTTTACATGTTATATAAATATATATATTTTTAATTTGCTTATCTGCCTATCAACACTATCAAATAAGATAATTGTGATAATAAATTGAAGTGAAAGAGGAAGAAATATATGAGTAATTTGAGTTGAATTAAATACTATGTACTTTATTATATTGAACATTGGTGGAAAAAGATATTGATTTTGAAATGGGTTAATTTTTTTAAAGACTATAAATTTATACAAAAGAAGCTAAGACCCATGTTCAAACAGATTTTATTCTACAAATTTATTTTTTTTAAATCTTTATGCTGTTTTACTTGTTTTGTTTAATTGATTTAAATGACCTAATATTTTTTAAAAACTGTTTTTCCTTGTTAGAATGATTTTGACATCAGAACATCTTGAAACCAGGTTTTACAACCACAAAAGGACTTAAATATTTACAATATCAATTGTCTTGTATTTCTTTTTTAATCTACTTAGGCTAAACCATGATAGCAGTATTTACACATGTATATATAACTACAAATTGATGCAATGTTTTGCTTCTAGATACCCGTTTTTCTGCAATCATTTTTTGTGGGGAATTAACTGAATGCAAATTCCTAAATTCAACATTTAAAAATTCATTCAATACCCACATAAATTTTGGAAAAAAATTGAAATAATTTACATAGAAGACTTATAATTCAGCAGTCAATCATTACTAGTATTTTTTGGGGAGTTAATTTGATAATTTCTGGTCCAAAACTCTATGTCCGACTTATAGGCGAGCTGCAAATGGTGTGTGCAATATAAGCTTATTAAACACAACCGACTTATAGGCGGACCGCCTTATAGGCGAGTATATACGGTACTTTTCTCTTCCTTTGTCTACCAGTAGAGATACAGTCTTGACAGAGACATCTGGTTATATAAGCCTGAAGAACCAGGATGTTATAATTGAGTTTCTGTCCTTGAGACTTTTTTATGTTTGAAGTTTTTAACAGTTAATAATTTCGGTCATAATTATGTTTTACTGACTGAAGTAGAAGTAAAACTTTAAAATAAGAAAATCATTGCCCAAAGAGTAAAAATAACTGCCTTTTAGGATGAGTCAACTTTTAAGGAGGAATGTCCCAATTATGATGCAATATGATAAGTGGATCTTTTAGATCTCCAATCCAGAAGAGTGCTTTTCATGTACCTGGTAAATAGTAGCTTATATTTTTTTCTTCCTGGAAAAGAGGAATTTACCATAATTAGTACAATTAGTACATGTAATAAGTTTATGGTTGAAATCATGAGAATTTTACAAAATTTCGACATGTTCAAGATTTTTAAATAAAGAAATGCTTTGTAATAATTGTGGTAAAAAGATGATTTATTTTTAATTACATGCATGTGATGTGGTAGTTTTAATATTTTTGTATGAAAATGAAATTTAAAAGTACATGTATGAAAAGTTTGAATTAAGTAAACAAGATGTTCTTGATTTCCTTATGGTGCATAAGTCAAATACTCTGAGCTAGACAAACCCATTTTGCTCATTATTTTTTTCTTTACCTGAATTACAAATGTGTGCAAACTAGGAACAAACCATTAAAGCTTATTTATCATGTTTATCAGTTGGAAGAGAGAACCGCATGAGTTAAAATGCACCACTGACCCAAAAACGAAATGTTCACAAATGAAAAGTTACTTCCTGATTTTTGTGTTTGTATGGGCAAATCAAAATGATGAAAAAATGTACTTGTGTGTTTAACAGCTCTTCACACATTGAAATCATGAAATTATTTTTTTTGTTGAATTTGAGTGGTTATCATGGTTATAGCTAGATTCTGAGTAAGAGACTATTTTTGAAGCAGTTTTGGATAAAACTTAAAAGCACCACAATGTACCATATGAAATACAGAATATGTCTTGAATTACAGGTAACTCTCGATACCTCGAAGTCCGCGGGCATAGAATTGAGAGATCTTTCTGTTTGTCTGTTTGTTTGTTGACCGATTTTGAAATTAGCCTTACCGGATGTAATAATTTTCATGCAGTGCTAACATTTTACGCGTGGTGTTTATAAAACATCGATATGTTTTCGTATTGTAGATAAATATTTATTAAATTGAGTAAATAAAAATTGAACTTATTCACTTCATGTTTATTTACTAATTCTTTTTGATACGGACGTCAAACTACGCATTCGTTAAATGAAAACGACATTTTACCGCATCGTACACAGCATTGACTACTGCAAAGATGATCATTAAACGTTGAACGAAGTTCTCTAAGTATATGTGCAACAACAGTCATAATCTTGACATTGAGGCTGTTTCTGTATTTTCATATTTTGTTAAACTGACTGGAAATAAAAATTCAACTATTTAGTTTTTCGTCTTGTATTAAATTTACTATTTTTCAATCATTGACACCGTTTCTCCGAATTATCGTAAGACAGTTGAAGATAATTATTTTAATAGCATAAAACGTTAGGCAACATATGATTAATTATAAATCAATTATCACCTAACAGTATAAGTGTCACCTGAATAAACATCCCGTTTCTCGAGACCCGCGTCTTCTGCCTGGGGCCATTTAAATGTCCAGGTAAAGCCGCTAATTATGTAACATTGTATACACATAGCCACTTCGAGGTTTCAAGGGAAAATTCCAATAGAATATGCATAGCGGGACTGCATTTTGACTTCAAGGGATCGAGGGTTTCGAGAGATCAAGAGTTTAGAAATCAAGAGTAAATTTGCTTAGTAATATAGGGAAAAAAGTTTGGGTAAAATTTAAAAGCAGTACAATGAACTTCCAGAGATATGATGCCATCAAGAGTTACCTGTACTTTCATTATAATGTTACATAATTCTTATGCTACAGTACTTCGTACAATTGTCTTTGAATGTGTTGAATAAAATGTTCTGTTATGTTTTTTACAGTTGAAAAACAGTCTATTGTATTCTGTGTAATTAATATTTCAGTCTATTTTTAGCTGTATTGTTACTATTTTTAGCATTATTTTCTACTTTTAGCATGATTGTTTCTATTTTCAGCATGGGTTTTGGAACAGAGTTCCAGGGGAAGAAATCCCATGAAGTTCTTCTACGAATTCAAGAGCATGAAATTCGGCTACTGGAAGTGATGAAACGGTGTCTCAACATCCGCGTCAAAAGCGATCGCAACTACGCCGATGCGTTGTCAGGATTGGTCAAAGAGGCGCAGAAATTTACCTGTCCAGAATTTCAGCCCATGCAAGCAGTCTTCCAGGTTAATTAGATAGTCTCATCTCCAGGAATATTTCAGATTTAATACTTTTGACAGAAATGCAGAGCTATTTTTGTCTTGTGTTATTTTAGCCCAATTAAACAAAATTGCACCATAAAAACAATTTTGTTGAAAGAGAAATAACTCTCTCTTGTCTCCTACTCTAGATAATTCACCTCTTGACAAGATCGAAAACGGCTAAAAAACATGGGGAGGAAAATTAACCTGTATATACAGTCAGGGGTGTGATTGAAATCCATCATTTTTAAAAATGATGATTTTCAGTCATTAAATTGATTTTTAATAATGATGGAAATTCATCTTTTTTTAGTAAAATGATGAAAAACAGTCATTTCTATTTTGAAATTTATTTTAGAAATAAAATCTCTGATATTAAAAATGACTGTTTTTCATGATTTTTTATCAATTGTTAGGTCTGTATATATCTCATTAGTTTTATAAATTATTTTGGTTTCAATTACTTGTCAAGATGTTTCTCTACACAAGGGTTATGGCAGGATAGTGTACTATATCTAATTACTGTAGTAAATGGGATGGGAAAATTGACTTGAGAATGGAAATATGATGAAAAGACGTTATTTACAAAAATCAGAAAATTGTGTACATTATATACTTAGAAGAAATGACCATTATCCATCATTTTTAAAAATGATGGATTTCAGTCACACCCCTGACTGATATAGTAATTGTAACTTGACACTTGTAGATTGCAGGTTGACTTATCACATTAATACAGTAATTCATAGTTTGAATTTTGATTTTTCTCTTTAGTTACAAAAAAAGAGCATATTTTCTGAAATGAGAGATACAAGTACATTTAAACACTTAAAATTTAGTTTCAATAGTTGTATCATGTATTATGATTGGATTAGTTAAAGAGACAATAAAACTAATTGGTTGACATTTTTGATTGACAGGCCTGGGATGTGGTGCTACAACAGACAGACAAACTGTTACAGTACATCAAACAAAACGCACAGAAGATGGAGTCAGAGACCCTGACACACCTCACCGATCTCATCAGCCGCAAAAAAGACGCCAAGAAATATTACATCGACGAACGGAGTCGACTAGAAAAAGATTTCAATAAGGTTACTATATATAGATGCATTTCTTTTCTTTCATGCAGTAACCTGCATGTTAAATTATTATTTTCCTCAAAGAGCCATTTGAGAATCATATATATTTAAATTCATCTACTCAATACTCTTCCCCTATGAAACTGACATATGCAACTCCTGTTTTAATTCTTCTCCTTTCACCCTTCTTACAGGTGTACAAACCTTAATTAAAGCGTGTGAAAGTGTGAAAGTATAGGTTAAAGAAGGGGCCAAAAAATCTGTATACAATATAGGGCAAATTAAGATGTTTTCTACCCATTACACTGGTGTAAATTACTTATAAATGTTACGCTTTTGTAGGTTCAAGATGAGGTACAGAAAAATAAACAGGAGTATGGTCACTGTGTGATGAGAGTGACTGCTGACGAGGCTAAGTATAATGACATCAAATCCAAAGGTAATCCAAATAAATGACATCAAATCCACAGGTACTAAAATGCAAGGGATTGATGATTTCAATGCAATAGATTCATTATTCTTTATATCCAATAAGAATCATGAGGAAAATTCCCTTTAGAATTTTAAATTTATTATAAGTGTATTTGCTTTATGCATATTATTGATTTCAGGTGGAAAATCCTCAAAGGTGGAGGACTCCAAGGTGAAATACCAGAAATCTGCGGCGCGACTTCACCGGATCCACAACGACTACGTTCTGTCACTACGCGAGGTCAGCGCATGTCAGGATGGGTACCTGACCCAGACACTGCCCAGCTTCCTCAACTATCACCAGACATCACAGGAAATCCTTGTTCAACAGTGGTAAAATTACAGTAACAGTTGTAAAAAAAGTGTTATCTTATTGATAAGTATGCCTGCCTTGGAAGAAGGGAGGGCAAATTGGTTTGCTGCTGTCTGTTAGTGGGTTGCTCTGTCTATTGGTCCACCATCAATTTCCGTTCATTAGGCCATAATAAAAATATTCCTAGATTCTCATCCCCGCCCATCCCGATTTTATACCCCCGCCTCGATTTTTTTTATCTCTGTTTTTCTTCGTCTTAATTCTGATCGGGAACGGAATTCATGCATCTACCATTCTACTTTCGTTTTAAATCCTGCGAAAGTCGAAATGATTTTGACAGCTGAAAAGATGGTTATTGCTGTAATACATGCTTATATATTTTAAACAAGGGTCATTGATTGAAAAAGATTGGTGATGATGTGAAGTAAGAGATAATTGAACCTTTACTATGACTTTTTTTGGATATTGTAGATAAAATTACACCGATTGACTTGGTCAATAAAAATCTGCAAAATTGAAAAAAATATATAATAAAAGCCGCCCGCCCGCCTCGATTTTTAAAAAAGATGGATGAGAATCTAGCAATTTATTTATTATGGCCTTATTTACATTGGCCAATTTATTCCTCATATGACAATATTATTAAATTAAAATGAAATTCAATTTTCAATGACATCCAGTCAATCACATGATCAGAAAGCAGTCTCTGTTTTCCTCCATTTCATAAAAAGTAAATGAATGCAAATGTATCTTGCAAAAGCTTGGTGTTTTACAGTAAATATAAATCATAAAAAATCAGCAGTCAGCAGGGGATGCTTACTCCTCCTATAGGCACCTGATCCGACCTCTGGATTTCACAGGAGTCAGTGTAATGCTGTCTTCACAGATTGATATTGTTTACAGAGGTTATTAGATAGAACACGTCTGTTTGTTAACTTCACATTTTACTTCATATACTTTGCCTGTACATTATTTGGCATACTGAATTCAAAATTTAGAGGAATCGTGGAAATAGCTGGCATAATCCTGATTTCTTACTACACATGTCTGTGCCATGTAGTGCCATAGACTAATTGTATTTATAAATGATTTCTTTTGGGTATATTTCATGAACTAGAGCGTTATTGTCTGTGCCAAACCTGTTAAAATATGAAGCCTGCTCTTTGAAGTACACATTTAGTAAATTATTTGTTTTCTTTGACAGTAAAGAGATCCTTTTGCAATACCAAGAACTGACGGACCTATCTAATGAGACCTGTTGTGAGATCTTCCGGGAGACCCGAGAGGCCATCGAGAAAATCAACCCCGAGAAGGAGTATTATAACGAAGAGTTTGTGAATAAGTTCAGGTAACGGCGGGAAGTCAGAGAAGGGATGTACAGGGAATCATCTGTGGTAGTTTGTACAAAACTATTTCCCTCTCTGTTTGAATATTATAAATTCAAAACAATAGCAAAGCAGGCTTTGGTTAAAACTTGACCTAAGTTAAATCTGAAGACCACAACCATTCATTGGTTGGAGGTTAGATATTTCTTTTAGCACCACAGGGATTTTCTAATGCATGAATATTGCTTTTTATATAAAATTCTCTTTTAACAAATGCATATTGTTAAGATATAATTTATATTTATATATACTAAGTTAAATACCAATCTAAAAAAGAATTATATTTATAGGCATTTTGATTATTAAATTTGTAAATACTGTGGTAAGGGTAAGAATTGGTGAACCTTTTGATTTGTTGATTATTTAATGTTGTTTTATTTCTGTAGTTCAGACAAAATAGAACCTATAGCATTTGAGTTTGGTAACACCTTACTGGCAGACTACACTGGAGTACTAGAGAGTAACAAGCTAGCCCTTAACGACCTGACAAGTACAGACCTACAGACAAGGTGAGTACACAATATACAGAGGTGGATCCAGGGCAAGAATCACAGGGGTGGAGCTAAGGTAGGTGATAGATACATGTATGCTGGAGTGGATCTAGGTTTTGTTTTTGGTATAAAGGCATTTATTCAAGGTAGTTAAGCATTTACAAGGAGTGGATCCAAAGATTCACATGTGGAATAGGGATCACTAAGTGCTGTCAGTCTTTTACTTCGTCTAAAAGGAAATTCTAGATCTTGAAAGGGATTGCTGATATTTACTGTTTAACTCTAATTTCTACTTTTTGTCAATACTTGGTGTTTGAAAAGTAGAAAATTAGTGTGGAATGGATTTGACAGTGCCTTTTAAGACAGTTTGTTCCTAACTGGAAAAACCAGAGGGAAATATAGTTTTTGTTCACTGCCTGTCTGTCTGTCCGACTGCCTGTCAGTTAGTCTGTCCATTTGGTTAAACTCCCACACTTTTTTTCTTTGTTCTATGCAAGTCTATCCTGATAAATTTCAGAAAAAATATGCATTTAGTTTTGCTTTGATGATTTTTTTTTTGACATTATTGGAAAAGACTTTTGTTATTTGTTATTTTACTTCAACCGTTTCTGTTTACAAACTTCATGTGTAAAAATAATATATAATGATTTATTTACAAGGATTAATCATATACAATGTTGACCAAAAAAAAAAACCCAAAACAAATCAATATTTAGAAGTTAAGTATTGGAGTTCTCTCCCTTTACTTGTTTAAAAAAATCGATGAAAGACATTCTTGTCAAATCTGTGTCAAAATTTCGTTTAGAACTTGATTTCAATTTTGTTTATCATTTGTAAAGGAGATAGGTAATGAAATACTATTAGATAAACTCTTTAATTTTAAGAAAGAACACAAAAAAATCGTTTTTACCACTTTTATATTGTAATTTTAAGTTTTAATAAAGATTTTGTTGAATCTTTCAAAGTTATGAATCCTACCAAGGTGGTATAAATGGTTTTTATGTGTAATGAATATTTGTCACCTCAAATGAGGTAATCTGGGGAATTATATATACTCATAGTAAAGAAAGTAGATCACTTAATAATCAGGACATCCTTTTTTCGTGAGATAGACATTGACTCTTTATTAGTGAGACAAAATTTTTACGAATTCTGGTCATTGCTCCGTACATATATAATCTTAAAGAATTCTATTTCACCTGAGAATGAAATTTTCACGAGTATTCTCTCTTGCTTAATAACGTGAAAAGAAAGTTACCATGGAATTATCATGGAATCGGTAGTATGCTAACTGAAAACAAAGCTTTTGAAATACAGTAAAACATTTGTTGTATGAATACGGATATTCCAGTTTCACGGATATAGCAAAGTCTTCAAAAACTTCAATCCCCAGATATTTAAATTAATTATAATGAATTTCTTGTACGGCTATAACAAATTATGGTTATAGCAAAGTAATTTCATAGGTCCCAGTGACTTTGTGACAGCAAAATTTTCCCACATTCCTCACTCATGTTTTGACAGCTCATTGCTTGATTAATCTATAGACAGTTTTTGTTTAAGAATCCCGAGCCACATGGGCAGTCTTTTAGATGATTTAATTGCTTCATGTTCAGCTTTAGTAGTAACATTTGAACAATCTGCAAGTTTGTTTCGGTCAAAGTCGAGCAGGTGCTTGAAAATCTAGTCCAGGGCCTAATCACTCCCCACTCTTGACAGTATATAGAAAAATCAGCACGCCCTAAATTTTAATAAATCTGGTCAATACAGGAAGTTTACATGTTGTTTTTCATCTCATAAAAAAATTCAGCTCCAGTCTCGTATCAAAATGCCCGAATCGGAAGGGAAGATTCCAGAATTATTTTGCGTCAGCCATGATTTGACGTGAACCAAAGTGTAATACTGTTATGACACCTATATATTTATACCAAAACCTACTCAGAACTAAAAGTTCAGTTTTAAATCTATAAGGAAGGCTATACATATATGGACAATAAATTTTCACATGGATTCACGTAATAAACGGATTTGTTTTTCCTGTCATTTTAAAATGCTTAAGAACAAAAAATCTACATTAAAAAATCAGAATCAGTGTGCAAAGTCATAACACAGCTGTAATTAATGTATGAAAATTTTGATTGATTCCATGGATTTCATAAATCACTAAAATAATCAATGACGCTATATTAGGTTCTCTCCCTTGACATGTGTATAAGAGTGTTATAAAAAAAATAAAATTTCTTGAGACGTCATTCAAATTGACAATTTTCTGTACAAGTTTAATTATTCATTGTAATCCTAATTACCACTTATAAATTTACAATAAATCAAGGAATTTCTAGGGGGAAAAATTATTTTTACGAATAAAAAAGTAAACAATGTGACTCACTTATTATAATAAAGTAAGAAAATAGCTTTGAACATGCTGGTGTAATATCTTTTAATTGAAGATAAATAATCTTTGACGCCTCTACGGAGGCATTAACAAGCAGTTGTAAATAAATATTTGGCCACCCTGTATGCAGGGTTATGAACAGGTGTTATATTAACAAAATAATCAGTGTTTGTAATTTCAGAAACAGTCATCAAAATGCAACTGTATGAAAATAAATGTACAGATGTACCATATATACTTGCCTATAAGTCAGCTAGTATTTTGGGAGTTAAATTTTAGTCCAAAAGTCTATGTCTGACTTATAGGCGAGTCATAAAAAAACTGGTAATTTTCTGGATGGCAAATCATATTCTATTTTCAACAGCTATGATCGTTAAACAAAGTATGCATTATATCATTTATATATTATATACATAAATTACATGTATCTTATATACATGTATTTAATGATTTCATTTTTTTTCATAATTTAAAGTTATATATCGACCTCATTTCTAAAAATATTAATTAAAAGCAGGGTAAAACAGCATAGCAATTAATAGACAATGTCATCTGATTCTGGCAAAAAGTTGTACCGACATAAGCGGGTCAAGAGCAAATCCCTGCAATATAACCTCAAAAAATACAACCAACTTATAGGCGGGCTGACTTATAGGTGAATATATATAACTAATTACAGATATAGCAAAGTAATTTCATAGGTCCCAGTGACTTTGTTATAACCAAGTTTTGCCGTAAATGAGGTGAATCTTGTGAATTCTCTATAGATACATGTAGGTTCAGTTCCAAAATTTCTGGACCTTAATTTCTTTAAAATATTCCTTGAAAAATTGAGTTCTTTTTTTTTCTTCTATTTTTCTAGTTTGTTCAATGTCTTTTAAAGATTTGACAGCTCTTCAATGACTTCAATATTCAAATTATTTTTTATCAAGATTATGATAAAATTTGATTTTGGGCTGAAATCCATAATTTCATTTTTATGTAGCCTTAAGCCCAATTGTTTATCAAATAGCTGTCACTCCCTGTTCTGACAGCACACTGCTTAATTAATTTTATAGACAGTGTTTGTAGAAGAGTCCAAAGCCCAATGGACAGTCTTTCTTATGTTTTAATTGCTTAATGTTCAGCTTGTGTAATATCATTTGATTAATCTGCGACATTCTGAATAAATGCATTAATGTGTATATATATTTAAATCAAAACCTACATTGAACTAAATGCTCAGCTTCAAATCTATAAGAAAGGCTATATGCATGGTCAATAAATTTCCCCATGGATTTACAAAAACAAAAAAACAGATTTGTTTTTCTTGTTGTTTGAAAATGGTTAAGAACACCAAATCTACATGAACAAACCAGAATCAATGTTCAAAGTCATAACGCAACTGTAATTAATGTATGACAATTTTGATTGAATGGATATCATGAATCACATATAATAGTTTAACTATCAATGCCTGATAATTGGGTTCTCTCCCTTGACATATGTATAGGAGTGTAATGAAAAATTAAAATTTCTTTGAGACCTTATTCAAATTGATAGTTTTTTGTACAAGTTTCATTATTTCCTGTAATCTTAATTACCACTTATAGATTAACAAAAAATCATTTAATTTCTGGGGGGAAAGTTGTTTTTATGATTAAGAAAGTTACAAAAGTTAACTATATGAAAAGAGACAATGTGACCAACTTCCTTTAAGTATTTCATGTACCAAAAAAATTTCCAATCTGCTGGAAAATACGTTATTTTACTTAAGAAATTTTGACGCCTCTACAGAGGCAATAACAAACAGATTTTAAACAATAGTTGGGAACCTTGATAGAATGGTTATGCACTGGTGAGAAATCTACATAACAATTGGTGACTTTTAATAACTGCAATGATCCAAATGCAGTTGTAAATTGAAATTTATGTACAGTTTTATGCTTACAAAAACTTTGATAAAATGTCTTAAAGAAAATTCTTTTTTGAATGGCGTTCATTGAGAGGCGTCCAGTTTATTCAGTAATTAAAAATAAAAACTCTTCTTTGGAATGCTTCAGTAATTCTGATAAAATTGTGTCACACAGTGAAAAAAGATAATTTATTTGTAGTTATGCACTGTATTAATTTTTGAGATTAATTTGTATCATCCTAAACATCCTCAACCATCTTTAATTGTAAGAAAATATCCAGGTTTTCTAATTTTTTTTTTTCATTTTGGTTGTTTTATATGACAATCATATATAATATTTCTCTCTATATATATAGAGTGGTTTTTTAACAATTGTAGTAAATGACAAAAAACAAACTATTCTTGTTGTACGGTAGTTGATGCATGTGAGTTAAATGGCACAAAAATTGATATGACGATTTTTACTAATTTCTTAAATATTGAATTTTTTTGGAATGTTTCAATGATGTTTATAAAATGTGGATTATTGCCCTTTTTATAGAATGATTTATCGAAGAAAAAGTATATTAAAAGCTCCTTTTGATTTTGAATCTAGTTTTCTATTTACTAGATTGTTTATAGTATGTTATATTTTTAAAATTGTTTACCTACTTCAATATTAAAAGTAATTTTCTATTGAAAAGATGAATGGGAAAATTGGAAACTTAGCTTTTAAACTGGAAAGGGTAA